AATAATCTAAAAAAAAAAAAAAAAACAATAAACCATTAAGAAAATAAATCGTTTTTGGCCATTTTAAATTTATGTCGACTTATTGTCAACGTTTATTCACTTTGGTTTGTCGAGAAAGCTTGCATGCAAACACGACATTAACGAATGACCACGGTTAAACCACAACAAAGAACGAAAATTATTGTTAGGGATTACAACATTTAAAGATGAATGCGATAAATGCTTGAAAGTGCACTATATAGGTAGCGGATATACAATGATAAACGATGTACGAGACTTAAGCTATAATATTACATCAAAGAATAAACTATTAATAATTAATAATATAAGCACTTGGAGAAAGCAACTAAAAGTGTAACTGAAACAATACGTTTTATTTAAAATGTTTAAAATGTTTAGCCTTTATTTGTTGTTTACGGAAATATTCTATGCCTAATATGACAGGTTAAGTTAGGTTCTGAAATCGGAGTTCATATGCCGAGTAAACTATTAAGTTTATCATTATGTAAAATGATAATGTGTGAAGATATGATTTTGTAAAAATATTTCAACAACATCATGTAGTAAGAGGAAAACACAATCAAGTAAATATTACTATAATTTTATAATAATATTTTACACGGGGGAATTGTGTACGAGGAAATCGTAGAACGCGACGTATTTTTATGGCAACATGTCTTGTTCCGTGTCATTTAATTTAGTTATACATATTATATTAAATATGTATACTATGTAACAAACTATACGCTTTTAATATTATTGTATGTGCGGTTGTTAAAAAATCGAAAAAAGCTCTGATACCCAAGATTATAGCCATCGTCGTTACACTGTCACAGTAAATGCGTAATACCAAGTTTAAAAATTGTTTCAAATATTTTGTTTATATTATATTATTATGATACATACTTGTACACGTATTGTGTTTAAACGGTGCCTAATATATCTACATACCTATACGGATATACTATATATATTATAAATTTATAATATATACTCAATAAACAGTGCGAGATCAACAACTCTAATAACGAAAACGTATTATTCAAGATAAAAAAAAAAAAAAGAATCAAGATGTTTCCACGTAGCACGCGATACAGAAACATAATTTAGTAGTCATACTATTAGTAGTAAAACATCGCTCTCTAAATGACGTTAAGTTACGAACCGTGTGCGCTGTACATAATCGTTTCGTTTCGCTACGACGTCTCACGTGACAGCTTACGTTGGGCATATTAACGCGCGGGGCGGCGGCAGTGGAATAGAAACGTTTCTGCAGACTTTTGTCTATCTGACAACTGGTGCTGTTGACGTATACAATGATGACAGAACGGAATAAAAAACCGTAATATGGATATCATGTAGGTACGTACACATTCGGTCGGTCATCGGTGTTGAAATATTATGGGGCGTATTTGAGGCGGTCGTGGTTTTAATTATATTAAAATAACTAGTCGGACTTAATAAAAAGCATAAAATTAAAGAGTGCACAAACACACTAATATAACTATGTCGAAAACTATTATTATAAAAAGGAAAAAACAACTACAAAACTGTCGTTGGCCAAACGTAGAGCGCAATACGAGACAAGTAACAAAAACGTCGTGGGTTAGAGATAACTAATAATTGCAGCTTCGAGTTACCTCTCATCAAGTTACTTCTCTCTACAGTGCTATATTAGAATTAAATAATTACGCCGAAGGTCGAAATATATTAAGTGCTATATGTTATGGTGAAAAAAATGTTATGATATAAGATATAATATTATTATTATAATGTACTCGCGTGCGCGCAACGGTCGTTTGAAGCGAGGTTTAATATAATGTGGACCCGACACGAACGTTATGATATATTATTACAACCATGTGTGTGTGTGTGTGAAAGTACTAGTACGAATTATACATATGCTCATCGAAGTGTGTTCACCAAACATTAAAACCATCCACACACACCGAATGAACACTCGAACGGTCCCCGGGCAGGCTATAAAAATGCGTTTCAAATATGAAGTGGTTTAGTTTTTTATTTTTATTTTGAAAATAAAATAGAAATTAGATGAATGCGATGCTGAGGTCACGGAACTACGAATGCCGACAAAAACCGTTTAACCAGAGTATATAATATTATACACTCTTGAACAACTCATTTTTTCTACATATATTAATACAATTATAATTATTGTCATTCGTTAGACTGCAAACAAACGATTATTGTTTAATATTTAAACAATGACGTATGTTACTAAATAGTACAAAATTAATGCAGTTTAAAGATTATAATATGTATATACTTAAAGTGCCGTTCAGACGATTTCATAAAATACCATCTAATATCCAAAAAAACGACATTTGTGCGAACGACTTAAAAAAAACAAACAATTTCTTTTAGGAAGTCATTTAAAATTAGAATCGATTTCAAATATAATAGCACTTTTCGGAGTAAACATAGAGAAAAACATTAGTGAGTACTGAATATTTACAAATACACTTTTTTTTATTACACACGTTCTACAACCAAGCATCGACTACCCGATACGCTTTTTAAACACTGCACCGTGATTTCACTGGTAGCAACGATTCTAAACAAAAACATATAAACAAAAATTCTAATTTCTGTTTGTTAAAATTAAACGTTTAAATCACGCATATTATTCCCGAAGGTAAAAATAAGATAAAATTATAAATTACATTAAATTTCGTTCGAGTTTGCGCAACATGGTAAATAGTTATCAAAAAACGCGATCGGTGTACAACACGCGGGTGTGAGGTCATCCACTTCTGCGTGTGCGGGACAAGTTCAACCTGTGACGATATTTTAATTACTTATATAAACGCGTTCTCTCAACAGTCTGTGTGTATTATATACCTAGTATATTATAGGTAAATAAGTGATATACTCCGTTATAAGTGTGAGAGTTCCAAACGGTGAATTATTAAGATAAATATTATCCCGCTAACGATTAGCTCGGATAGCGCGGGCGCGTACATAAGTCACTTTCACGTAAAGGTAGAACACACCATGTCATTAGAATAAAAACAAATTTTGGAGTCGGCAAAGTTAACCCAAAACACGGTGAGGTGCGGGGGAGCTCGTAAATCATTCTTGCATCCGATATTTTAAGATGGCGAAATGCAATTACATACCGCGGTAATTGACTCTGGGAGTTACGTCAAGGATCTAGTATTTGTATAATATTACGTATGTGCACAACAATAACTATTATATTATATGGTGATCAAATATAAAAATAAAAATAGAAGTAAATTTTAAAATTTTACTGGTTTATCATAAAAAACTCTTCTATTGAGAGAATTAGCCAATGTGTATAACTTTACTATTCTACACGTTTTGCCCGTAGATCATCTATACAAAGTATTTTTTAAATCTGATTATTCATTATTTTATATAATTATAAAAACTAATTAATTTAAATTACAATTTTATTATTATGTCAACTTATGTGTTTCCTTATGATGAAAATATTTTGAAATCGTATAATTTAAAAATATTGTATACAAATTAAAATAGCATTCATTGTTTGATAACAGTTAGCCGATGAATTGTTATATACCGCAATGTGATAGTAACTATCATTGATAAAAAAAAAAAACCACGCAGCAAAACTTTAGTAACAAATTTAATTAATCACGATACTACAAAATATTAATTTATTAACAGCTAGGTATTTGTTACTAGCACTGTTCTTTACAATTATTTATAAATTATAAATTCACATAAATAAATGTTATTTTTCAATCAATATAAACGAAATTTATGAAAAATACAAAATAAAGTATTAAATTAAGTATATTAGCAAAATAAAATTTCATATTTGAAGACCCTGGTTCATAAAACAAATTTATAGGTAACTGCTATTTTTATCTATATCCAATAATAAGTGTAGCAAATGCTTTAAAATCCGAACCCTGTTTATAATTATATATTTATATGTTGATTGAAGCAACCACTATATTATATTTAATCATGCCTCATACTTCAGTGACAAAATTATTATCTTGTGTAAATAGGTCAATTCATATAATAAAAAACCAAATTATAAAAAAATTATTAACGTGTATTTTCAAAAAATGAGTACAATTTCATGCATTCATATTACTGTTAAGGACACTAGGATAAAGTACCAAAAAGAGAACTGTTCTATAAAAAAAAGTACGTCTGGTCACTACAAATTTATATTTGATTGCTAGCGAAGATGAAAACATATCACTTATATGTATAAAAGTCTACATTGATTACTTGTCCATGTCAGGCATAAATATTATATTATATTATATCGTAATAATAACCCTCGATAAAAATAAAAAAATATTAAATTGAATGCTTAGCGTGCAGTTGGTTATTAATTTAATCAAAAAAAAAAAAAAGAAATGGATTTATCGGGAAATGTGCGACGGTTTATGGTAAACACGAGACACTGTCTTCGGCAAAACGCACGTTCAAATTTATGAGGTCGTATAACAATATAAATTGTGTCTGGGGCATACGAAAAGCGCAAAAAAAAGCAATTACCTTGGACTAAATCGAACTAGACAACTATAGAAGAAGGTACCACTGCCATTACTTTATTATTATGAATTACTAATAATTAATCTAAATTATAAATATACACATTATGTACACCGACTACCCACAGCAGTCGTGTCGTAATTTATTCGGCGCACCACCGATAATACATGGTAAGCGATTATTTTTTTAAATTATTTTTATATAATTCGTCAACTACAAATATATACTAAGGTAGATATTAGAAATACGATTACGTACATCTATAGATATTCAAACTGCATTGGTACGTTTATAATATATATTTGCTAATTCCATTTTTAATAATTAATTTTATTTGTAAATAATAACATTATAATATGTAGATAAAAAAAAAAAATAAGAACGAATAATCCTGACATTAAAAAAAAAAAAAAAAATATGATAACAAAATAACATATATTAAATATGTGCGCTCTATTTGATAGTGGAACACTTACCCTTCCCATGTAGTATCTGCGATAGGCTTTGGCTGTGTCATCGGTTTCGATTTTATTATTCCATGTACAGGTTCCACTAGAAGAAGCAGCAGGCTCGTAATCGTTTTGGTCCTGGCCATCAATCCAGAAACCACCGCCGGTCGGTAGAACGATGTTAGGATATGGTTTAGGACCCTTCAATGTTTCCTCTAAAAGTTCACGGGATCCATTTCCGGCCGCTTCCGACGTCGGTACACTATTCGTCCGCTCATCTCTAGATGTCTGTAAACAAATTTACAAACATTTTTATTATCGTTCAGATTTAAAACAGCTGATGTAATTATTTATGGTTCACAAAAAAAAATTATAATTTCAATACTAAATTATGTAACATTATAATATTCTAATATTATTTATTTGAGTTCATTGGCATAGCAATAATTTATAAAATTTTTATAATTATGTTGTATTATAACTTATAAGTATATATTAGAAGGACGGTTACACTATACAATAATGAGATGTCCGATACCGAAAATAATAATATAAAAAAAACCTTGAAACGTGCGTTGTATTCATAATATTTTATTATAACCTAAAATTAACCATCCAACTATTTTCAGAATTGAATTAACTGTAAAACAAATGATTAGTATTAAGCATATACAAGTAGAATTGAACACCGCACATTTCAAATGACTGTACACAGCATATTTATTTTGTACATACCTAATAAAGTTTCATACTTATATATATACATGATACTCAAATACCCACTATCCTTGTGTAAATTTAGTTTCCATTAAGTATTGAAATGGAAATTCACTATAATTAACATTTTTTTTTTTATTCATTACACCCTAATTTATCTCTGGTGGACTTTTTATGTTTATTATAAGATGAGTTGTTTTTCTTCAGTACTTATTAATTTAGTAAGATTTTTTTTAACATTTGGCTTTAACAACTTCAAACAATGAGGTTATTAACTTAAAATTCTCCACGAAACTATTTGATTTGTATCTAACGTTTAAATAGAGTGCATACCAACAATAATATAATTTTAACGTCAGTTTAAAAACGAACTATGGGAACAAAGATAATATTTTAAAAACACAACAGACCCCTACCTGATTACTAGACCGTGAGCTCGATTTCCTGTGCTACACAGGAAATCCAGGTATCTTGGTCAGATAAAAAACCAAAAAAGGTAAGCTAGTTAATGGTTATGCAGTTAGCAATTTACATTCGTTATTTATTTTTTAATGCTCTAGAAGATTAACTTTTATTTTGTCCCTTTTTCAGTAATTTATATTTAAAATGAAATGTTTCTACAAGGTAACAATGTACTATATTCTTAATTGTTATTTATATTTTTAGCAAATAATTTTATTATCATAAATATTTATTATCTATACTTTATTAACAACAGATACCTACAAGTACATACATGAAAATATTTCAAAAGAAATAATTATTTTGAGAGGTTTGTACCAATGTAAAATGTTTGAATTATTAATATACACGCATAGATGTATATAACTAAATATATTATATTATATTAATTGGAATACGAATAAAATTTTAAAAACAGTAAAAGCTAATACAAATAAATTGTGTCTTCTAAATTGTTCGTCTTGTTTATATCTAATTTTTTTATTATATAAATCCTCGACATATTTAAACGACATCAAAGTACGAATTATATATTATTATGATGATTAATGAACACATGAAAAACAAAAGACTAATACAGAAGTCTATACGTAAAAAAAATTGTTTCAACTAAAAAATATTGTACGTACTCTACATGATATGTATGATAGTAGGAAAATAAGTGTAGTTCCCCATGTGTTACTAGGGGATGTATGTGAAATATTGCCATAATACAATTTATTCGTGTAGAGTAGTATTTTGGGTCAGACATTTTACGCATATTATAGGGCCATGGAATGTTTTTCCTAGGTTGGGTAGGAAAACATATATTACCCACACAAAGTGTCACGGACGAAGCGCGTGCGTAATATCTATCGTAACTGATATATTATTTTTCGGCGATGGAAACCGTCGGATGCTTATGTATATTCGGGTGCGATTGAAAAATATACTTTTCCTTATCAAAAATACTAAATCACTTATCATTGTTGTTATACGATTACATACACGGTTTACATGTTCGTGCAACGTTGCCACAAACCCACACTTATCAATTATTATGATCGTGGCGAGACACCGAAAAATTTACCTATAGGCCATTATAAAATACAATATTATTTTGAAAAATAATTAATTTTATCTCTCAAACTTAATTATAACAAATCACTTAATATTTAATAACATTAAGATTTATTAATTATAATATAAACTATTACTAAATCTACCAATCTAATGGATATTGAAATTTAATCATTATTATAATTAAAATTTAAGTATCTATTTTTGCATAACATTATTATTTTGTCTAATGGTCTATATACAACTTATTACAATAATTGTATCCTTGTGACACTGAGTTAGATAGGGTTTAAAACGTCAATAAATGTAGTGTTTATAAAATATAACTCAAATCATACAGATTTGTTTTATTCATTAAATAATATAAATTAATAGTATTAAAAATATTATATCAACTATAAAAAATTAAGATAAAAATATTTGCTTGTATTTAAAAAAATTATTTTTGAATAAATTGCAATGTCACAGCTAGTTTTCATACGCAATAGTATAACATTTGTGCGCGGAAAATTGTAATTATTTATTCTACTAAATATCCACAGACAAATCTCGGTAATAGCCAATAGGTAAGTATGCGTACTAATATAATAATAATAATAGAAAATCGTGTATCCTTATACCGGTTTATAACAACGGCGGTCTCACGTAACGGACTTGTAGGCGACGTGCGTTTACCAGTGTAGCGCGAACTAGTCTTTTGCAATTTAAATATCCCTTCTTTAGAAGACTACAAGATGCGGTGAGGGGAAGGGGTAGTCTAACCTGGTGTCGCAGATGTGTGTACGGGGTAACGAGAAGAAATGAACGCGTATCATAACGACGTTGAATTATTCATAGGCACGTAATCGTCACTAGAGCAAGAGCGGTGCATTCATCGCTCTGAATAAAATATAATAATACAGTTCGCCAATAAATATATTTTTTTTTTTATAACCTTGTTGCAGTTCCGAGAGAGCACACTAGTTCGCTAAATGATTGTGTAACAGTTTTATAGCACGTAGAACGCACAGAAAAAATAAAAAACCCCATACATTATAATATTATACTGCACACATAAATTTATACGTATAATATAAGTATATTTTTCTGGTTATGGGAAAACATTGTGTCAGTGGAAGGGGGAGGGGTGGACATTGTTGTAAATATAAATTGCACAGTTGGAAACCGAGAAACGCCACTGTAAAAGAAACAATATTTAAAGGAGGGGCGGTAGATGGTGGTGAGAGAACCGGGGATTTTAATAAGAAGACATCTGGAAAGCGATGCTGGGGGATTGTATGTTGTGTGTATGATTTATGAAATTCGGATAAACGAAATTGTTCCTATATCTAAACATTAAAAGGAATATATGAAAAAAGAATCAAGAATCTCATCGTGTAACAACTGCATCGGAAATCTTTCTTATTCTGCATTACTTGGTGAGGTGTTATGAGAAAAATTATTTTTTTATTCGTTACCGATTGTCTGCTTTTTATGGAACATCATTTGTAATAGATTTGTACCTATACTTTTTATTTAAAAAATAAAGGCATCTTTCCGTTTAAAGTAATTTTAAAACAATTACTGTACAAAATTAAATAGAACGTACTTTCTATATGCATTATCGTATTTTTCGAATTAAGATTATGTTCTCGGTGTTTTTTAGAATGCATTTTAAATTGTTTTGTTACAGCCGACAGGCTCAATAATTCAATAAAATTCATAAATAAACTGCCACCGAGTTTGAATGTTAATATTGAATTTTCCGTAATTATAACGTATTATTTTATTTTAAACATCCAATATTAGATTAAAACCTAATATTATGTTTGGTTGATTTCATATTTGATTCAAGTGGTTTTTATAACTTTCTAATTCACTGAATGAGTGTTGTAATATAATTCTTAATTAGTTATTATAATTGGTAAGATTACCTATATCGTAAATAAAAAAAAAAATCTCTATATTCTATTTCAATCAGTCAATTACTCACGTTTTGAGTGTTGACTATAATAATAATTATAAAATATAAACTTGTCCTGTTTAATAGAAAATAGATAATAATATTACGATAGTATTTGGTACTAGGCGACGGCTACCGGGAAACTGATAAAGCATAATTAAAGATAATTGTAAATGAAATATAAATTGAATAACATATTAATATATTTATGACTATGGTAGCAACAGGAAATTAAATTTTCACTATTGTTGTTATTATAGCACAGCGATAGTGTCAAATCTAACGTGGTTCTATATCTTTACCAATGGACCATAATATGATAGGTATACAAAGTTCCAGGAATCATTAAAGTTTGAAAAGCCACATATATACTGTTTACACGATATTAATACAATATTTTTATATTAAAACTACAAATATGTAGTAAATATTAATAAAATATAATATTTATTTTATGCGACACACCGTAATGTCTATAGGGATTTACCCACACGTTCAATAAAACTAACTACTCTTTCAACAACGGCTGTTTAGAAGATTAAATTTATCTTTAGGATACCCGTAACTTACCGTATAAAATATAAAATTCCGTTGTACATTAAAAATAACGCTATATTATAAGGAATATTAGTCCCTAGTGAATCAGTAGTGTTACTAGTGTTCCTACACACAACTGATATTTCATTTTAATCTTATTTATACCTCCTATTTATCCATTTACTGTCCAAATACGGCATTAAAAAAAATTAACATTTTTATGTATGTTTTAACATAACGAACAGGTTGAGTAGCTCCCAAATCACGAACTATATCTAGCTAATTTCCGCTTAAGAACATGAATTGCTTGACGAAAGAAGCCACTGTCAACACTTTTACTTGTTCCTATATTTTATTTTTACATTTTTAAGTTTAGAAAGTCTTCATATTATTATAGTTGTAAAATCAAAATATTGATAAAATACTCTAAACCAATGGCAGACTGACGACAACTATACATTGTAATATCGTAAACTATTATAAACTATAAAGGTATGCGGAAGTATAATACTCATGTACAACTCACAAAATTTGGCCGGATGTATTTGAAGTACAACCGTCTAGGATGTCC